CTTATACTAAGTAATTTATTTACGTTCGACCCTTTAATTTTTTACTTTTTTTTAATTTTATTTCTTGTTCTTTACAACCTTACCCACCCACCACCCTCCCCCCCCCCACACGCAAACTCCCCTACTAAAAAATTCTTTCTACGTTTTTTTTTTTTTAGTATTTTGAATTTTCTGTCTTTTTGTTTTCCTGCACCACTCATCCACCCTACCCCCCTCCCCCCGCGCGAAGCCCCTCAAAAAAGTTTTTCTTTTATTTTTTTGTATTTTTAATTTTTTGTTTTCTGTTTTTTCGTTTTTCTGCACTACCCACCCACCCCCACCTGCAAAAAAAATTTCAACTTACACATTTTAAGGTAAAAGGCTTTTATACGCAAGATGAGCATGGTTATAAAACATGAGTCAAGTTGGGCGGGGTGGGTTATGACCCATTGTTTAGTCCATCTTGACCCAACTCATCGTAGCCCAAGTACACTTTGGGCTGGGTTGAGAATGACCCATTTATTGACCTAACCCATCTTGACCCCCAAAATTCAGCCCAACCCGCACATTTACCACCCCTAGATACGATCATCCTTTAATAGCTTGATTGATAATCCAAGCGGATTTTTAAGCTCGATGATCTTGTGCTGATTTGGACCTTCCTTCCTTGGAACTTATGAATTTGCTTCCTTAGGTGGTATTCTATTAGACATGATCTTCGGCTGATTTGAGCCTTCCTTCTTTGGACATCATGAGTTGCGTCCTTGGGTGATCTTTTCTTCCTTTCTTTACGCCTTGTTTTACTTCTGGAATAGTGTGTTGGACTTTTAAGCCATTGGGCTTTAAAGATGAGTAGTGTGAATTGGGTAATGGTGGGAACTTAGTATAAATTGCACGGGGTGCCCTATTTGGTCACCCCATTTAACCTATACCCAATTTTTTAAAACTTTTAACTTGTATCCACTTTTTAAACAACTTCAGCTCCCTTTCTCCTCCTTCATTTTCTTCTTTCTTCTTCTACAACGATGACTTCAACATTGCTCTCTTTGATTAATGAAGCTAAAGCAAATATACTGAGGACTTCCATTTGGATTATTATAACATTAAAAACCAGTTTCCTCGTTGTCTGGAAACACAACTCCGTCATCCATTGCTGGAAATTTACTTAATACCGTGAATGTTTCTGCACAAGGAACCCAACCTTTAACAGTAAGTTTCAAATTCATTCTTTCCCATGCACATGGAGTGTTCTTCTTTTTCTTTTCTCTTTTGAGTTTCTTTTTTTTTTTTTGGCTATGAAACGTAGCTCTTGATATATTTAAAACATGAAAGTTNTCATTCATCTGTCAATCATTCGTCAACCGCATACCACGTTTCGTTCAATCAAGATTGCAGCTGTTTTGCTTTCGGCACTGATCGTGGTTTTGGAGTATTTACCTGTGACCCTTTCTGTGAGTCCTTTTGTCGATACTTTGAAAATATGGGTGGCGTTGGTATTATTGAAATGCTCTTCCGCAGCAATATATTAGCCTTTGTTGGACGTGGAGACCATCCACAGTATCCTCGAAACTGTTGAAATTGGCAAGTCCCACATTGGTGGGATAGCCATTTTAGTTAAGACTTTTTCTTATAAAAGGAGGCCTAATGTTTAGGATTTAAACACACCTCTCATTTGCCTTCTCATCTGTTTAAGACATTTGTATCTTTTCTCTTTAGTATTATTTCACTTGTATTTTTGGAGTGGAATAAAATATTGGTTGTGTCCGAGGAGTAGGCAAAGTTGGTACGGGTACGCTTGTAATTTTTTTTGCAAAGCGGGCACAAGTTAAAACGTGATACAAAAAGCGGGTATAGATGCAATAAGCCCGGGAAATTAAATGGACTGGGTTGGGCTTCAAAAGCTGACCCGGTTTATTTGGTTAAACTAGTTGACCCAGTTTAATAAGTAACGTTAAAAGAAAGTTAAAAGACAATACGTTGTCTTCCTATCAGATGTTTGTTCGCAGTTAACAGACACCATGCCTTTTCATAAAGCCAAAAATTGCCTATAAATTCAGGCATGGCTTCCATTCTAAAAAACTCAGAAATTCAGAAACTACATAATCACTTTCGCCCTCTCTGCAAGATCATTAATCCAAAAAGTCTTGTGTTTTCTTGTTCCTTGAAAATTGTAAGTGTGATTCGCTCCGCTCTTTGAGTTCGTTGGTATCCTGCTTCTAGTATTGCCACTGTCGCAGGAAGGTTTATTCCGTTTTATCCTGGGAGGATTTAATCCATATACCTTGGCAACTGTGAGGGGGTTAAAATTCCTTAAGGACACACAAGCAAATTGTGGACTCGGAATTATTTATTCTATTTCTTTTTCCTCTTATTTTTCTTAACAGTGTTGATTTTGGTTTAATACACGTTGCCTAACAGCTTAAGGAATTTTAATTCTATGTTCTGTGTTCGTCTTAACATTTATGTGTTGGAGACTAAACGAGAAAGAGACATTGAAGTGTTAGGAATTTGTTCTGCTATCATCATTGGTACGCGATCAAAAGACACGAAAGAATTGAAACTCTCTGCATCAAAGGAAATAAGGGAAAATTATATTTAAGTCCTTTGTCAATCCCTTGACACATTAGATAGTGATATGGCACCAGATTGTTGTGTTCTCTGCCATAAATCAATGTAATAACAACGTTTCAGTGTCGCAGCAATTTAATCTGATCTTGCAGAGAGATCAGATTAATTCTGCCGCAAGTTAATTTCTGCCGCATCAAATTGTTGTGTTCTCTGATTTTGTAGTGTGTTAATTTCTGCCGCAAGTTTGATCTGTTTTGCAGCAGTATTTTTGCATCAATTTTGGAGATTAAAGCTTAATTTCTTTCTACTCCGATATATTTTTTACTCCGGTTTAAAGAATATAAAAACTTTACCGGGGTATTAAATTTGAATACGGTTTGAAGAATATAATAAACTTCACCGTTTATGTTTTGAATGTTTGGTTTGGTATTCAGTTTGAAGATATAAAACCTTCACTGATTTTGAAAAAAGTTCTGTTTGTTGCCAACTTTACAGAAAAATGGCAAATGAGGACCAAACTAATGCTAATGGAACGGGTGTTACTGTTACGAGTGTTGCTTCCTCGTCGAGCCGTTCAACTCCTGCTCATGTTATGGCACCAGCAGAAAAACCCGGTAAATTTTCCGGTATTGACTTCAAACGTTGGCAAATGAAGATGCTCTTCTATCTTACTATGTTGAGTTTGCAGCGATTCATCAAGGAGGATCCTCCGGTCATGACTGAAGGCATTCCGGATGACGAACGACTTGCTGTAACTGAAGCATGGAAACATTCTGATTTCTTGTGCAAAAACTACATTTTGAGTTGTTTGGAAGATAGCTTGTACAATGTCTATAGTGTCATGGAAACTTCAAAAGCGTTATGGAATGCACTTGAGAAGAAGTACAAGACTGAGGATGCCGTACTTAAGAAGTTCGTAGCTGTAAGGTTTTTGGATTTCAAGATGGTTGACACTAGGTCGGTCATAACTCAAGTCCAAGAATTACAAGTCATTGTGCATGACCTCCTTGCTGAAGGTATGA